GGCACGCGCAGCCGAACCGTCTGCACTTGGTCGCTTTCGCAGGCACCACCTGAACCTGACTCAGCCACCCGCGCCAATTATCGCCCGTTCGTCTTGTCTGAGCAGACTGCGACTCAAACGCGAAACAACTCCCTTTTTCTTCCCCTTCCCGCACGAACTCCAAACAATTGACAACCTGCCGCACCGTGCCACTTGCGAATCAGGCCCTTCATTGCCGCCTGTTCCACGCGTGTGTCGCCAACTTTCTTCTCAGCGGCCTCATCGAACCCTACCGTTGGCCCCCCGCCGATTGAATTCGACAACGCGCTGTTTCTAGTCGACTGCGCGTTGAAACACGCCGTACTCGGCCCTGCAGTCTGCATTTTGCGCCAACCATGTATTGGGGGTGAGTTGTCCAACTTTTGTGCTTCCTCTCCATTTTGCCGAGCCAACTACGGCACCTTTGCAGATCACCAGCTCGCCTCCCGAGTGGAGGGATCCTGCAGCCGCGGCATTCAACTGCCATTCTGTTCTTGAAATCTGCATTCCGTCTCCCCGCGGCTTCAATTCGCATCATCTCTCTACTCATGCACTTGGCGATGCGACCTCACCACACCCCAGAACCATCACTAACATGTCGTTTCCCAGTCGGTTTCCGCACCTCTTCTTGAGGCAGGAACCATCTTCCAATGGTACCGTAGCCGCCACCACGCCTGCTGCAACGACTCCTCAAACGACCCAGCAGCAAACCACACCTGCTGCGGCGACAACAACCCCTGCTGCTGAGACCACCACAGCTGCTCCTACAACGCTGATTACCACAACTGCACCTGCGGCTACATCTCAAGTTCAAACAACAACGCAGCAACAGATTCCGACGACCACGACACAGCAGACCACCCCGCAGACAACCACGGCTGCTGCTGAAACCACACAGCCAGCAACATCGGTTGTCGCAACTACTGTTGTGATTACCCCAACTGTACCCGGGGGCCAGACCAGCACAGTCATCCAAATCATTACACAGACCGAGGCTGCCAACCCCTCCAAAACGACCGGGAGTACCTCCGCATCTGCATCTTCAACGAACGGCGCTTCCAACTCCGGTAGCGATTCGAAAGGCGGTCTCACCGATGGAGGTAAAATCGCTGTCGCTGTAGTTGTTCCCATCGCAGCTGTGGCGCTGCTTATTCTGGCCGGTATTTACTTTTGGCGCAAGAGGAAGCAGCGCAAGCATGCTGAGGAGGAACGCCGGAAGGAGGTTGAAGATTACGCCTACAACCCCAATGCGGACCCCACGATCCCATCCCTTGGTGATGGCGGCTCTTATGAGATGAAAGAGGATGGTTCTGCTGGATACCGTGGATGGGGCACCACCACTCTGGCCGGATCCACCGGACGCAAGGCATCTACGACCATGTCTGGAGGCAACACAGGTGCGGCTCACTCGGACACAACATCACCAACTCGCGGCACTGACACCCGTTCAGGAGAGCCTCTGATCAACGACGGCTCATACTCACCCGACGGCGAGATTCTTGGCGCCATGGGCCCTTCGGCCGCTCTGAACCGTGGACCTGGCGTCCAGCGTGGCCCATCAAACGCATCGTCCTCCTACAGTGCTGGCAACCGCTCCGATACGTCTGATGGTGGCATCGGCATGGCCTACACCGGAGGAGGAGGAGGCAATGCCTACTACGATCAGTATGGCAACAATCCTTACTCCGATAACCCGTACGGCGATCAGCGACCCACCGAGCTTCCCGGTCAACCCGTAATCCGTGACAACCCGGCTCGTCGTAACACCAGGATCGAAAACCCCTCTCACTACCCACAACAACAAAATGCGGGCATCTCGCAGAACTTTTGAAATCTAGCGAGTCACGCTAAAACTTTGTTGATAACCAGTCTGCTGGGGTTTTGTTCTGAAGATACCCACCGTCCCCACCAGGCAAACGATGCCCAAGTCGGGAACTTAAAACGGCGTTACGGATTCACGGAAATCATGGCATACGGCAACACCTTTGCTGCTCAGAGAACTACACTATTAATATCGGCCATCTCCGCTGCCATTTGCCTGCCATCTACAGATTGCACCATATCGCTTGCACGGAGCTTATAATCACTCGTTCGACGCACATGATTCATTTCTTCATATACATACACCATTTGGGGTCGTTCCGGTCAAATCCTCCAAGGTCGCAGTCATGTCGCTTCAATTCAATCGGTGTACATAGAGAGAAATAAGGCACACAGGCGTTGTGACTTGTTGCTCACAGAAAAGCAAGTGTTGCCTGTTTTGAATGTAAGACATTGTCGCGCAGCAAAAGTTTCCGAAGTGCTGGTTTAAAATGGATGTTGGGTCAACCCAGATATATCGTATGGGCAATTTGTTTTTTAGATACGTATGAAATGATGTTCCTTTGTCGACTCTGGACAATTCTGTCTTAGACCTGCATGACATTTCGTGCATGCAACATGTCTAATGTCACGAGTACCTATTCCTCTTAATGGGCGTCGCTCTAGGTAGACAATTACAATCGTGTTCCATCCTCATCGGCAACCCCCATGCCCTCGCTCAACGCAACGCGATCCCACCAGAATCGGAATTGCCGCACTTCCGCCTCTGTCAACGCCCTTACCCGTGCGACGGTACCATGCTTTCGCTGCCCACGACGGCCCATGAACTCATCATTCCCCTCCCCAAAGACGACAATCTTCCCCCTCACCTCATCTTCATCATCCTCGGGAACGTGATCGTCCGCGCCTCCGGGTGAATCACCGAACGGGGACACAAACCTCGGCCAGGTGATACCGCTCGAGTTGACCAACTCGTTGGGCCCTTCCTCGGAATCCTTGCAGGTGACGAAAGACGACCAGAACCCGTGCATGGCCTCGCTCGTAGCCCACAACCCGGGCGTCCGGTGCGGCGAGAGTATGTCACTGTCGCGAGTGGCGGCGGGGACGTGGTCTCCGTGGTTCGCGGCGCCGAGGTCCGCGTGCGCGGCGTATTCATACACCCACACCGGTCGGCCCTTGCGGGACGCAAAGTGGGCTGAATGGATCAGCGGCGCAATATAGCCGTAGTGGCCGTATGCGTGCGCCAGGCGGCGGAACTGGGCGCCATGGCCAGGGGTCGGCGGGGGTGGGTAGCTTGAGGCGGGAGGGTAGAGGGAGTCCAGTGTCTCCAAGTCGGAGTGCGTCAAGGAGGGTATCAGGGCGGCGAAGAAGTCTTTCAGGGCGGTGGGAGACGATGCGGACGCCGGAACGAAGGTTGTGCCCTCGGAGGAGTTGAAGCCTGTGATGAGAGGTGGAGGCGAGGGAAGGTCCGAAGACGGTGTCGTCCATGTCCGGATGGGCATGCCTGGAATAACTGTGGCCTCGGTGTCTACGTTGCCGTCGATTGAGGGCTGAAAGGGCCATTGGACCGACGGCGCGTTTTCTGTCCAAACGGCCACTGAAGCTTGGAGGAGCTTTGGCAGCGGTAGGGAGCGGAGGGCGGGGAGAATTTGGTATTTTGGGAGATGGGAGAGGGAGGCGTACGACAGAAATTGCGCAAACTGGGCTTCGTGGCGAGGATGCGTTGCTGCGAGGACGGAGCGGGCTGTCGCCGCGCCTGATTCCAGAATCGCGCGGCGGAAGAGCTTACGCGAGGGCGCCGAGAGGAGGTGGTGTCCAAGCTGTGGGTGTCAGTGAAGCCTTCTAGGTGTGAGATTGCGAAGAGATGAAAGAGGGGTGGCGTACTGAATGTGCGCCGGCACTGAAACCCATCACCGTGACATCTTCTGCGTCGCCCCCGAACTGGACGATGTTCTGGTGGACCCAATCCAGGAGGGACCTCTGATCATGGAGCCCCAGATTGGAGATGCCCTCATTCGCTGCGATGCCACACGGCAGAAAGCCAAGCGGTCCAAGACGGTAGTTGAAGCTCACAGCGACGATGTCCTTCTTGGCGAAGGCCACGAATGCACCGAGATTCCTGTCTGCTCCTCGTCCAAAGTTGAAGGCCCCGCCGTGGACATAGACCAACACCGGGACCGTCTTCGTGACCTCCCCCGAACGTTCTGAGAAGGGCCGAAAGACGTTTGCGCTTAGACAAGCCTCGCGAGAAGGGACAGAAGGGTCTGCCGTAGGACAGGCGGGGCCGTATTCAGAAGCGTCAAAGGTCTCCGAAGATGCCGGCGGGTGCGATGCGCGTTGGAGGCGTTGGGCCTCCGCGTAGGGGATGCCAAGAAAGGCCTCTATCTCACGCGGAAAGTCTTCATCATCGACTATTTTTCCAGTGTAGATGCCCTGGGTCAGGCGGACGGTAGGCTGTCGGCCTTCAGAACTTCTCGTGATCATGGCGGAGCAAGAGGAATATGATGGCCCTGCTCGTATATATAACTAATTGCGGTGATGTGGACTGGCTCCCAATTTGTAAGCGTCGATCGAATCAGGTATTTGATCAATATTTTGGTTTATTGAAGGATCCAGATACGTCTCCCTCACGAAGCTTGTGGGAATTTGAAACCAGACGACAAGAGGACCGAGGCCAAGTTTGCGGGATGTCGTTGGCGGGCTCCGCTATCACCCGGCGCTAGTCCTACCGAGCGGCTCTGTCCGTTTTTCTCACCGGTCCGGCACGCCGCAACCGCCTGGTCAGCCAAGCGAGCTGGGCGGTCACAGCCGCAGAGTTTCTTTTGTGGCTGAAACTTGGGGAAAGACATGCCGACTGGGTGTATCATATTTACAGGAGATCTCATTAACAGCAGACCGGACTGCCGAACGTGGTTGAAGTTGAAACCCAGTTCGAGACTGGGCGGCTGGTTCTGTTGCATTGTTCGACAGCTCTCACAGATGGTCTTTGCCTCATCATACTCGCTAGTGTTCCCACAGCCGCTGTTATAGGCCACTGGCCACACACGTTGGAAATTGACATGAGGTGGTAACAAGTTCTACTGCACGGTATGCTTTAAAACTACAGACCTTTCTGACCCCAAAAACTCCACATAATCCAATACTACAAAACACAACATGGGCTAAACTGCTTGACGGGCCACCGCATTAGTTGCTGCCAGCTGCTTGCGTCGCTGCTTCTCAGCCCACTCTCTGCTCGCTTGTCTGGAGCGCTCGGCGGCCTGCTCGCGAGCAAGCTTGGCATTGAGTTCACGTTCACGACGTTCCCGCTCCTTATCCTCGAGGTAACCGTTGTCCCGCTCAAAAACCTCCCTGCCCTTTATCTTTTGCTGCTCCAAGTCCTCGGCAGATAGCGTGCTGCGCTTTCCCATACTGGTAGTAGAAGTAGAAGTACCACGGCTGATTTGGGAAGTGACGGTAGCTTGGGACAGGCCTCTGCCTCGAGCCTGTGGGGATCTGTTTGATGTGGATCTTGTGACTGGCGTTCGCGGAGTCATAATAATCGATGAGCGCTTGGCAGGGCTTTGCTCAACCTGGGCTGCCTCGCTCGACTCAGAGGCTTTGCCCTGGCGAGCACGACTAGTAGCAGTCTCGCGGGGGTACGAAGCTGAATTTAGTTTCGCCCTGATAGGACGCGCCTTGAACTCGCGACGCTTGCGCTCGTCCTCCTCCTGTTGTCTGAGCCTGGCTTCACGATCCTCCCTCTTGCGCTTGGAGATTGCCTCTCCCGGAAGCTCAAATGTGGGTCGCGTCAGTGCTTTAGTTGATCTCCTTCTCTGAGGCGCTGCTGCGGCTGCGGCTGCAGCCTTGTCCTGCGCCTGCTGCGCTTGACGGGCTTCGCGTTGCTCCTTTAGACGCCTAGCGACGGCCTCTCCCGGCAGCTCAAACGATGGCTTTGTTGGGGGCTTGGTGGATTTGATTGGCGGCAGCAAGCTAGTTGGCCGAGAAACAGAAGATCGGGTCGGAGTTGCTTTGGCCGGAGACCCTGTAGCTCTCTTGTCGTCAACGATTGAGACAGACTTTCTCTGAGTTGGGCGGGTTTTAGAGGTCACAGGTTTCGACCTGGCACTGCTTGGGCCATGACTCAGTAAGGAGCCATTGCACCGGATGGCGGAATCGTTCAAAGCAGGCGATTCATCGCTTGCTGCTTGGTGTCGCCGGGTTTTGCTAGGTGGTGTAATGGCAGCATCGACAAGCTCCAATTGCTCTTCGAGTCTATCAATGGCTTCTAGGGAGTCCTCTATGCGCGACTGCGAACTTGCAGAAGTCGATCGTGAGGGCGTGTGCGGAGCCTGAAAACTGCTGTCGTCTGTAGATACGGAAATGACTCTGTCCTTTGGATGCCCGAGTACATCAACTGAGGACTCCTTCCTGTTTTCATTTGCCTTGGCTGAAGGCTCCATCTGGTTCGGCCGGGTCTGTTCGACAATAGTGACCGTGATACCTGACTGCGATGTCTTGTTCAATGCGGTGTCGTTCTCCACAGGCGTTGGAGAAAGAAGTCGAACGACGGGCTCGGCGATGGCCATGGTTTCTTCCACCTGTGAGTATTGATGTGCGCGCAGTGACACGACTTCCTCAGGCCCTAAAGGAGTGGCTAGAATTCGGTAGGTATTAGTCAGTTTGCCCTGACTGCAGATATGAGAGGTCGAGCCTTGGTTCTGCGCCAGAACGTTGCAGCCAAAGCTCTGCGATTCATCCTGAACCCGACTGGGCGGACCGATTCGCAAGGCTGGGCCGTCTAGGCCAGGAACCGAAAGTACATAGTCATACTGACCTGCCTTGTGTCGTGTGATACTCGACTGAATATGTGAATTAGCACTCAGCGGCCGTTGGTGATCAGGAATGTCAAGGACAGAGAAGACTACGGCGGTTAGGATCGATGGTATGTTAGGAGAAGAGCGTAATGGGCAAACCTTCAGAGGGGACGCTGGCTTCAAATGAGTCCTGTGCCTGGCTAGCAGACGCCGTTAATGCGTTTGTTTCAGTCAACGAGGGGACACCCTCGATCACTCGAGGCGGCTGTGCAGGGATTGGTCCTTGCGCGTAAATGGTCTCAGCTGGGCAATTGTCGCAGTCTTCGGCTTCTTCCTTGACAGCCTGGAGGAGTGGGAAGATCTCGGTGTCGACACTGTGAACAGACAATCGAGTTGGACGGCTGTTGGAAATAGGAAGTAACGATCTGTCGCCGCGATTCTTTTCAGGGCTATAGATATGCAGCTCCTTGAGTTTGTCGGTCAAGTGGTCAATGAAGTTGTGGGGACCTCTCTCAGTATTAGTGTCATGTCTGTCAAGGAGAGCAATGTTTGCGTCTATTGAAGCATGTTGGTTGGAAATATCCGTGGTGGCTGTGTCGTCTTCAACGACGACGAACTCGTGGGCGTGGGCCCGGGCCCTGGATCGAGGTGCACCGCGAGCCATCGTGCCAGCAGCCAGACCAATCTCCGGATCCGACCTGAACGTGGCAGGGAGCTGCCAACCCAGGCAATTGGACGGACAAGGAAATGGCGACTTTGGGGACCAGTTGGCTATCTGGAATTCGCAGGCAATTTCGCTTCGGGACAGCCGGGGTGCGTGTAATATTGGCGGGGTTATTTGGCCTTGTGAACTTGGGACAGCGTAAGGCGGAGGGGATGCCGATGAAGTGTTCGGGATTATCAGCTGGAAGAGAGGATGGAAAAAACCAAGACAATGCGTATTTGGGCGTATACCTTTAGCTGAGTTTGATGGGAAACCAAGATGAGAGGGAGTTGACGTTGGGAGAGACTGGGGAAGTCTGGGGTCGCGGCTGAGAGGGACAAATAAACACAGGCAATGATCAATTGGCCAAGAAGTCGGCGGAAATTGTAATCAATACTGCACTTTCCTCTCGCTACCTATCTGTCAGTTCCCATCACACCAGCCAGAACAGGACAGGACAGCGCCAGTGTGTGTGCACAGGCGCAGGCGCCGGCGTGACATGACGGATATTGGGCTGCGGCAGGCTCGTTTGGCTTGCTGGGGAAGGGTGGCATACCCAAACCACAAGGCAAGGCCCCCGAGGGATGATGCAGCTACCTAGTCCATCTCGCTGTAGCAACGCGCAACGCAAGTGCGACGACTCATGCAACTGTACAGAACATCCGTACCTTACGTGCAGGAAACGCGTGTCTCCCCTCGGACGCGTCTTTCCGTTTGGACCCCGCACGCATTTGTTGACTTCGGTGGGGCCTTTCCGCCCAATCCAGTGTCAATCCAGACACACAGGAGCTGGACGCTAAGCGGCGCCAACACATCGCTTTCCGTCAGCTTCATATAAAGCAGGGCATGCTACCTCCAGACAGCAGACTGGGTACGCTATGGCGGCACCCTTCATGCAGAGTTGCGCTTTCGTGGCAATATCAGTATAGCCATATTGTTCAACAGGACGTAGTGGATGACCGCCATTGGCACACGTGCTAGACGTGAATTGGGAGTTGACCTGACTGAAACTTCTATCCGGAAAAGAACAGATTGGCCAACGTTGTGCGGGAGCAGCCAGGGCGTTGGGTATCTAGGAGGATCATGCGGCGTAAGACGTGCTTGCTTTTTGGGTTGGTTCGTCCGGATTGGTGTGTCGCCATCATGACAAGGTCGACGTGTTCTCTGCGCTCTCTGCCGCGTTCTCGGCCTGCGCTTGCAACGTCGGTGCATGCTCCGTTGGAATGCGAACCAACGTTTGTGGAAGAAGCATGCTGGGGTCTTCATTCCCTGATGGTTCGTCTGCAGGTGGTTTTGCAAGTTTGGCTGGGCATGTTCGTGAGCTTTATCGTACACCACTAATTGCTTGCGGGCTGCACATACCAGAAGCCATGTTGATGGCACCCAACACGTTATGCCAGTTACCAATGACCATGGCGATCGCTGATGTTGGTTAGCCCTGACATTCAATTCCACAGGGCTGTAGAAAGCTTGCTCATGCCCACCTTCCGTTCCGTCTGACAGCGTAGACAGCTTCTGCTCCAGAGCTTCCATCTGGCCTGCGACTGCGGCGCTCAGGTCGCGGAGCTCTCTCAAGTGTTCTAGCTCTGCTTTCTTCTCTGCAATGCGCGCAACCAACATGGGCGAGGGACCGGCCGACGAGGCGTTCTGCGACCCCGTGCCGGGCAGTCGAGTCGAAAGCGATCGAGTAGGGTACGACATCGTGGTTCCGTCGATGAGATTGAAAGAGTCGACTTGATGGCTCGCAAAAATCCGCCTGCTACTGTCCCGAGAAACTCGACAAAGTGCGTGTGGTGGCGGAGGTTATTATCTCGTCGAATGCGGCTTCTTCACAAAACGTTATGTGAGGTGAGATATTCGTAGATGCACATGTAAGAATTGTACGCAGCTGGTTCTGGCGGGCAGTGGAGCATGTTTAGTGGGGTATCTGGCCCATGCGAATGCGCCCCCCAGCAACCCTTCATCCTGGGCTTTGTTTACACTAGTCTAAATCAGGCCGAGTGTAAATAAATGACACTCGGTAAATTTTCTCCCACTCAGACCCCCAGCGTCACTGCCTCCGTATCGAGCTTCGCTTCGTTTCTCAGCTTTTCATTCCTCAGTTTCTGGACTCGTCACGCACCCGCCGCTCCCTCATCCAGAATGCACCATGGCTCGACTCAACGAACCTCCCGTATCTGCAGATAGCATCGACATATGTATGTTCAGTTCATTTCTTCAATATGACTTGAGCCTATCAACTAATGTCCTGCAGTGCGCAGGAAGCTATTGCGCCAGAATAGAGATCTCGCAAAAGCAAACGCCGTCCACTTGCTCCGCATCCGTACCATTGAAGCCGACTTCGCGCGGTCTCTGTCCGACAATCTTCGACTAGAAAGCCGCATTATTGAATTGGAAAAGGAGCTGGAGGACAACAATGCCAGAAGGATAGCCGACCACGCCCTGGACATCAGGTCCAGACTCGAAGCACAGCTCTCAGAATGCATGTCTGTTCTTTCCAGCCTTGGCCAGGAGCCTCCCACAAAGAGGCACGCGAGTCCCAGGGGTAGAAGATCATCACGAGCAAGTCTGCCGCTTCAAAGCCCCCCTCGAAGACGTCCGCCACGCGAGTTGATGAGGGAGGCAGGGGCCCGAGCGCCGGAGGATGATAAGCTGCCAACGATTACAGAAAACAAATCCTACCCAAGAGCAACTTTGGAGTAAGCCAAGCAACGTCCGCATTCACTGAAACCCCTTTTTGCTGACGCGTCTCGCAAGTCGCGAACAAATCTTGGCCCTTTGCTCCGAAGCTGCAGATACGACCGACACAACAGACTCGCCAGAGCTTGGTCCCCCGCCTGTGTCTCGATTTGTTGACGGCGAAACTGTCGATATTGGATCACCCAGCAAATCCATCGAGTACATTGAGCCGGAGCCACTCGCACACAGTTCTCCAGTAGTTTCACCGATCCCGTCACCAGCACCGGCGCCAGTCTCGGCGACCAAATCAACACCGAGGATGGATAGGAACCTCATTGTCCGCCCCGACCCTGTACCTCCCGCTGAGGCATCTGAACCCCAGAGATTGCTTCAGAAAGAGAGCCCCATCTTGCCTCCTGTCGTGCCCAGTGTATCTGCCAAGACAGGCTCCAAGCGGAAGTACAGTGTCGGGGAGGATATGAGTAAAACAGGTCAGCAAACAGCTGAACCGCAAAAGTCGAAGAACACTTCGGAACGTTCGCTCATCGGACGGGATCATCAGACCGGGAAAACATTGAAGGAGTTGGCAAGCATCCGACGTGAGGCGAGGGAACGTATGGCTCCACCCGTCAACCCGAGGAAGCCTTTGTCAGCAAAAAGTACGAACGATGACGTGACTTCTCCGATCAAAATCGCAAAGGCTGCAGCGGCAGAGGGCAGAATCGGAGTTGAGAAGGCAAAGCCGCGCGCAGCAAGAGAACGAGCGGCGCAAAAGATCAAGGAGACTGAGGCTGATGAGAACGACGTCGATAATGCGCCTGTCGAAATACCCGAGGCAGCCCCATTGTCCCCGACTTCAGTTGCCAATATTCTTCCTAGCACAGAAGCTGTTCCCCTCGAAGCTGCTTTGCTTTCGCCGGCTTCCCCAGAGCAGACATCCAGAATGAGCCTCTCTAGTGTCAGGGACACTCCCCCGCCCGCCGAAATATCCTCCCATGGGGAGACATCACGACCAAGCAGGCGAGCTCGATCCGCCGTCAGTTATGCTGAGCCCAACTTGCGAGACAAAATGAGACGTCCGACCAAGGAGCTTTATGATGCAGTGTCTGGGCAGACGAGATATCTGCAGCGCGGTGGGAGCGCCAAATCGGACAGTGCCACGCCAGATGCCACTGTCACGGTCAAGCGCGAGTCTGCCGACGGCGATACGCTAAGGCATATTCCATCTCTTGCGCCATCCACAGTTGACTCCCCACAAAGAACGTCAAGCCCTGCTGAGATGACAAACATGCGATCGTTGGAAACCGCGCCTGGCCCAGCAAGGCCTGACCGTAAGAAGCGAACATCATCGATGATGTCGAGGTCCATATCCGAGACCGAAGAAGAGACATCGGCCCGACTGGCTCAAATTGCATCTCCGGATCGTTCCACTTCATCATCGTCCGCCAAAGTCGTCGATCCTTACGATTTCACCACCTCGACCCCGGGAAGTGACAGTTCGCGCATCATTGAAACGAAGGAAAGCGCGCCGCCTGCAAGACAATCCAAGTCTTCGAGACGGCTCTCGTCCGTCGTGAGAGAGGACTTCAAGATTGAAAACTTTGAGGGGGCCGAGCGAGCAAAGACTGGCGTATCTAGGAAGAGGGCTTCGATGGTCCTGCCAAAGAGGACCCGAGCGGATACGGAGGGCTCCGAAGATAGCAGCTTCGAGAGCCTGGACGGTGACATACAGGAGTCGTCAAAAATCTCTGTGAGAAGGAGGAGGAGCATGATGTTATAATGACTTGACGGTTGGCAAGCACCGGTGTTTTTGGAGTTGGACACCATCGCAGATACCACTCTGATTGTTGGGTTACTGTTCTGTATTAGTGTTTCAGTGGCTTCATTGTCTGGTTACCGAGAGGGGAAACAAATCGGATTCCTGTGCATATTGGGCGAGAGCATCAAACATTGAGTCCATGGGTTTGGTTGGTTGAAACCGATATTATTATAATGATCATCATTCGCCTAAGAATTCGTGTGGTCTTGATTCATGACAACAGCCACCGGTGGCTGAACCTCCCGTTTTGGTTAAATTCGATGTCTCCTGCAGCAGCTCGTCTTACATGATGACGGCTCATGATGTTGCAGACGGCTCCACGGGCTTCGTGTAAGTCACCTTTTCCACCGCAACATTCTCATTTCCCTTGTCGTCCTTGCGTAATTGGTAAACATATAGAGTCAGTGAAATGCCTTGAACCTATGTTGACAATCAGCAAACGTTCCCGCAAGCCCCCATAGCACGGGATATTTCCAGAGATACGTACGTCCATCAGGCAGAAACTTGGGACGGGCTCCTCGCCGTCCTTGCCCCAGCCTGCGGTAAAGGCGCCGGTAGCACTACCGGGGTTGACGAAGAACTTGTCCATGTACTCGAAGGCATCGAACTTGTGGGTGCCACCCCAACAGAGAACGTCGACATCGAGCTTATTGGCCTCGGCGAGGAGCAAATCGGGTTCGTTGGAGACAAGAGTGAAACCCTCGAGGAAGCCAATGCGTAGAGAGCCGTGAGTGACAACCTGGGTTAGGGGCAGGCTTGTGGCCTCGACATCGTAACGGCCCTTGACGATCTTGAGGTCCGGAGCGATGGTACGGAGGTACTCGTACGTGTGCTTGTCGGTCAGGTTGCCCAGGCAGAGAGTTTGGCCAATCTTGCCTGGGGCAAGGAGCTTCTTGAACTGCAGTGGTTGTTTGTGTTAGTCCAAGGTCGATAGTAGCTTGCAATACATTGAACGAGCTGCGCATACCTTTTGGGGGATATCAAGAGCGCGGTCTGGGATGTGCAGGTCGCCAATGACCAATATTAAGAAAGCCATGGTCGTTAGGGGTGTGTAGATTTATCGATTAGGTCTTACGATGGTGATGGAGCCGTAGCGGCGGCGCCTGGGACGCTCGCTGGTCGGGATGTCGGGAGGTCGGTGGTTGCGCAGGAGGGTCGCGCGGCCGATTGGGAGGCCGAGGGCCGGACACGGATCCTCTTCGGAGGACGTCTGATATCGACACGCTGAGCGGCAGATTATATTCGCGACGGTCGATGGTCGGGCGTGTTGCTGTTCCGGCGGGCGACGTAATATCTTGCGGATCTCCAGGCAGGTAAGGACTTGGTAAGGTAGCTCGCTGCGACCACTCTCCCGGTGCAGCCTCAGTTAAAGGTGGAGACCTCCATGCATCTGGGTACGTATAGTCAAGCCACACTACCTATCTGTCCAAGACCCACTTTATCTGTGGCTGGTCATGGTTCGGATGCCTGCCCGATGGGGTTAGTGCTCGGGGGACTCGGAAGACCGCCGATGTCGTCCAGTGTACGGCCCAAACAAGTCCCTGCGAAGAAGCTCTCGGTCTGATTCCAGCCAGCTTGTTTGTGTGTCGTGGACTGATGCTCCTCCAGCAGCGCTTGAACTGTGGCCTCCACTTTCCGACACTAACAAACGACGGCATCCGCCCTGACTTGAATCCCGAGTTACCTCCAGGATGACCACATCACATTGTGTTTTAGTCTTCGCGTTAAAAGTGTTCACCAGCTCATTATCTTTTGAAGACATACTATAAGGACTCCTTTTCGCCAGATGGCAGGACTCGCAGCAGCATCATTCGTGCTCGATTGCTTTTACTAGCAGGACAGGGGAAAGTGAGAGAGGGAAAGAGATCCATCAGGGGGATCCAGCTCCGATTTCCGCCCGTTTAAACTCGGTGTAATCTTCTGTCCTTCTCCTTTTTTTCTCCATCTTCTCCCGCTGCCACGGGAATAAACTGAGCAAAGTCGTAAGCGTAACCATTCCAAAACGTGTCTATCTTGCCCAATCCCGTCTGGTCCCAATCCAAACATCCATATCTCGGTTCCGTCCCGTCTGAAAGCGACGCTCGGCTTACGTTCCGACCTCTGACGCCACAGGCACACATGCACGTTCCCCTACGGCGGCTCCAGCTCCCGCTCCTGCCTCTCCGCACTCTGGCAAAGGGGGGGAGAATGCCCCTCCATAACCTTAACAACCCCTCATCAGCCCGGGTATCTCTCATCTCGAGGCACTTGCGACAACCGGAACTGCAGACTACTTCAACTCCTGTAAGTCCACCTCACAACCTTCAATTGATCACCTCTTTTTCTCATTCATATCTGGTCCAGCAGCAACAACAACAAAGACTACATTCCACCATGTCTACTCAACCACCCCACCCCACGCTCCTCATCCCCGGGCCCATCGAGTTCGATGATGCTGTCCTGCAGTCCATGAGCCACTACAGGTCCGTGCTATCAGATATGCCCGTTCCCCAGGTGGAGCTCCACCTGAACTGACCTCCAGCTCGCGATGATCCGTTGCTGACTAGAAGTCGACTTGCACAGTGAGAGCCACGTCGGCCCTGGCTTCGTCAGCACCTTCGGCGAGGCGTTGTCCATGCTGCGCCAGCTCTTCCAGACTACCGATTCCTCCTCGCAACCCTTCGTCATCTCCGGCTCCGGCACCCTAGGCTGGGATCTCGTCGCTGCCAACCTCGTCGAGGCCGGCGAGGACGTCCTCGTGCTTGCCACCGGCTACTTCAGCAATGGCTTTACCGACTGCTTCAAGACCTACGGCGCCAACGTTACCGAGCTCAGAGCCCCCGTTGGCTCCCGCCCTCAGTTGCCCGAGATCGAGAAGGCCCTGTCCGAGAAGAAGTACAAGGTCCTGACCGTCACCCACGTCGATACCTCTACTGCTGTGCTCAGCGAGCTCAAGGACTTGGCTGCTGTCGTCAAGAAGGTGTCTCCCGAAACCCTCATCATCGTCGACGGTGTCTGCAGTGTCGGCGTTGAGGAAATCAAGTTCGACGAATGGAAGCTCGATGGTGTCATTACCGCTTCGCAGAAGGCCATTGGCGTTCCCGCTGGTCTGTCGATATCCATGTTCAGCGGTAAGGCTATGCAGTCTTTCCAGGACCGCAAGACCCCGCCGGCGTCTTACTTTGCCTCCTTCAAGAACTGGACTCCTGGTAAGCCACAGATCTAGAAGTCGGTTGCGAGTCAATTGTTGACCATGCGCAGTCATGCAAAACTACGAGGCCAAGAAGCCTTCCTACTTTGCGACACCCTCTCCTCAACTGATCCACGCCCTGCACACCGGTCTTACCCAGATTCTCGCCAAGCCTCTGTCTGAGCGCTTCGCCAGGCACAAGGAGGTTTCCGACAAGGTCAAGAAGGCTGTCGCCGATCTTGGACTGAAGCAGGTTGCCGCGAAGCCCGAAGACCAAGCCCATGGCATGACCGCCATCTACCTCCCTGAGAGCGTCAAGGCTACGGATATTCTTCCCAGCTTGGCCAAGAAGGGTATCGTGTTTGCCGGTGGTATTCACAAGGAGATTGCGCCCAAGTACATTCGCTTTGGACACATGGGCGTCAGCGTTGTAAGTTCTCACTGTACGGGTACTTGACAATGGTATGCTAACAAACACAGACGGATCCCAATCGCAAGGACATCGACAACGCCATCAAGGCGCTACAGGACAGCCTTTTCGAGGTTGGCTACCAGAAGCCGTAAGCGGTGTTTATAGACGGGTTTGCATTTTGTACATCTCAACTAGACGGTCATCCTAAAGGCAATAAAGAAAAACACGAATCACAATTCAATTTGTAAAAGACTATGGTCGTCTTTGAAACGTTTGGTGAAGTAAGACTCGACCAGCGCTTAATATGATAGGTTGTGATAGTCACCTGGGAAATGGAAACGAGTGCCTTGTTCGGACTCAATCGCAACAGGGGTCTGCTGAGAGCCGCGCGGTAGCGGATGGGCTTCGCCCTCAGACTGGCATGGTAGGTAATGAATCACCTTGAACGTTGTCGAATCAGCCCCATGATCGGACGGTAGAGGATTTCGGCCGAGTCTCCTGTTGGCGGGGTTTGAGGAAACCATAATGTGGCACCTGGTGTGATGCGAGAACAACCGCATACGTGCATGTATGCCTGCGTTAATAGACAGCATGTATTACTAATAGGGATCCGGCGACCTCCTCGGTGTGCTGGGCGCATTGTTGTCCGATGAAAGCATGTACTGTGATTATCGCCGAAAAGGTGGGGTGAGGAGGGGATGAATAGAAGGCTGGGAAGTCTACCTGTATGTGTGACGCGATGTATCAGTACATGGTGCCTTAGCTGGACAATATTCTGAGGCGCAGGGTAGTAATTGGGCGAGGATGCTCCGATCCTCCAATTTGGAGGCGCCTTTGGGGTATGCTGTCACGGCTGTTCAAGTGTCGATGCGACTGGACAGGTCGGCGGTGTTGTCGGAGAATCCGAGGGATGCACGAGGCAAGAGCTCGCAAGAGCTCGGTGAAGAAGGTGAAGAAGGTGAGTCCTGCCTGCCTATGACGCGCATCCACACAGTCGGGTGTTTTCTTGAGTTGGGTGCAGTGGCCGTAGGCGTGGCACACCAGCAGGCGGGCAGCCTCACAGCAGACGGGCTAGTATCAGAAGAAGGGGAACCCGGAGCTCAGCTGCAGCCCAGTTCGGTTGTTGCAGTTGGCGGTCGCAGGGTTCACCGCGCCAAGTGATTGCAGCAACAGGCCCGGTGGAAAAGAGGGGAAGAGGGGTGCCTGGGTAACGCAGGCCGAATGGATGAGGTGGAAAGAAACGATCCAATGTCAAAGGGGAAAGAAAGTCTTCAAGGCCAGGCGGTAACGTGGTCCGGCCCAAGCTTCTAGCCCATTCGCGAGTTCCCGTTCTGCTGCTGTCAGGCTACCCAGGTAGGCACCTACCTACCTACCTTAGGG